GTAAAAGCAGGCCAAAGACCTCACCCAGGAAGTTCATACAGATGAAAAGCACTGCATGGGAAAGTCTCCCTACCAAACATCACCAGGAAAAGTAACAATGCTGAGATACCACTGCATACCTCCCCATCAGCCAAACTACAGAACACTGACAGCACAGACGCTGGCCAGGATACGGAGCCACGGGAACGCTCCTTGTTTACTGAGAGCCATGAAAAATGGCACAGCCACTTTTGAAGACGGGCCAGCAGTGGCAAGCAGCACTCCCTCATCTTTGCAAGGCAGGCTTTCCTTTGGAGGATGGGCCTGTCTCCTTGCCTGTTCCCCAGTGAGCAGGTAAGGTGCCTCCTAGAGGCACTGGAGAGAAAAACACATTAATTAGACAGTCTACAGTCCCCTAATGCAGACCAAAAGGTAATTTCTGTAGAGGTGTGAGCGAGTTTAACTTTGGAACAAGTTGAAAAGTGAGAATTCCCTGTAGCTGCAACCTCCTCAGCTCTGGGCACTGTGGGGTCTTCCAGGAGACACCAAAGCACACCAACTTGAACTAAATCTCTTTTTAATGTTCTTAGTCTACACGGATTTTCTTGTCTGTGGAGTGGTGTGCTCACTAAGGCAACAAAGTCACAGTCTCAGATTCCTGGTCCAGTTGCATCAGAGTCCCAGGAGGAAAAGAAACATTTACTAAACATATACTTTTGTCACTATGTGCAGTGGTATACAGATGTAATCCAAACAATGGAGAGGCAGAGTCAGGAGGATCGTGAGCTCCAGGGCAGCCTAGTCTACACTGTGAAGCTCTGTCTCAAAACCTGACAAACAAAAAGCTGCAAAAGAACCAGATTTATGAATCACGATCTGTGAAATTCATCTCTAGACAATCCCCAAAGGCGTCAGTTTGGGAAAGCTTCACACTGGATGGATCTGAAGATTCCTTAGGGTTTAAGGTTGTCGGATCCCACATGGTTGGATCGCACATGCTGTGCTTCCTGCTTTTCTCACTGTGAATGCAACTGCTGCTGCTGCTTCAAGCAAAGCACTGGACTTGTCCAGATGTGTCTGCACGCTGGAGGGACTGGGGCACTTCCTTCCAACTGACAGTCTTTCCGGCATCCATTCTAAACTCTGGAAGCTCAGTGGTGTGCCCATGAATTTCATGGACTGAAGGACATTTCTGGACACAGATAAGACTTTATTACAGCTTATATGTTTATAAGAGAGACCATTAAATTGTTCAAGGAGGTATGGATGTTAGGGGATCTGCATATCATCTACTTGTATGAAAATAGTAAAAATTCATTCAAATAAATTTTTTAAAAAATATTTTATTTATTATTTTTATTTTATGTATATACATGTATTGCCTGCATGTAGGTAAGTGAACCTGTGTTGTGCAATGCCCACAGGGGACAGAAGAGGCTGTCGGATCCCCTGGAACTGCAGTTAGGGACAGTTGTTAGCTGCTTTGTGAGTGCTGGGATTTGAACCTGGGTCTTCTGCAAGAACAGTCAGTGTTCTTAACGGCTGAGCCATCTCTCCAGATGGCACCATCTAAAAAGTAGGGATAAAGCTACAGTGTGTTGGGAAATACTATATATGAAAAAAGGATGCGGAGGGGAAGGGAGGGAAGACAGAGGAGAAGTGAGAGTGAGAGCAAGAGAGAGAGAGACTCACAAGTACTTTGGAGAGAACTTGTGAACAAAAATTCCTTTACTCCATCTGGAGACCCTTCACCTGCACTCTTGTGGGGACCTAAGACCCCCACCTTGCATAGGTCCAAAAGGAAGTTACTGGGGGCGGTGGCCTGGCTTGCTTTGAAAGTCTGAAGAATACTTCCGCACCTCTGAGGAGTGCATGATCAGCAATTGACCATCCTTAAGATACACCCTTGGTGCGGGGGCGGATTTCCAGGTGCCTTTATAAGCTCTGTAACACCAGCAATAAATGTGTCCCTGCCTGACTAGGCTCCCCATTGCATCTGAGTGTCCCCAGTACAGGGGGCAGCGAGGGCTGGTGAACAGCGTGCTGACTCATCCCCAATCATCACTGCCCGGGGGTCGCTGGTTCGAACCCCGGCAGAGTCTAGCTGCTCAGGGCTCACCTCTATTCTGCTGACAGGTTAGACTCCCCACACTGTCTCCCTTCCCACCTTGGGCCTCGGCCCGCTCCTGCTTGTACCACTTGAGACCTCTAGACTAGCCTTATAAGAAAGTCCCACAAAATCGGTATTGGACCCCCTGCTCTGGACTAGCTCGGTTCTCCTGGCTCCAGGGCGTACATCTACTCTGCTTAGCTGGCTAGGACTTCCCTACTCTGTCCCCACCCCACCTTAGACCTAGGTCTCCTTCTGCTTCCTCCCTGCTCTTCCTCCCTGAGGGGTCTGGGCCAGCCAGCCAGAACCAGGCCACTGGGACTGCATAGTCATGAATTGGGTCTAAGTCCCTCTGCCCTGCTGGAGAGGTCTTGACTAAGAAACTTGGATCCATCCTGTCCTGCCAATAAAAACACCAAAAGAACTTGAAGCATGGATTATGTACTACTCATCCTGATTAGAAAGTAGCCAAATTATATCATCAATATAAACAATCAAAGTTCAACTAAAGAGGCAGGCTAAAATTTCACATCAGACACACAACCAGTAAAATAAATCCGTATGCCTAAATCACAATGCCAACACACAAATAGTATTAAAAACCCAGATAAAAATGTCCTCACCAAAACTCACAAGCTCTACAGACGTGTACTACAATGGTAACAATGCAGAGGATCCCCAGGATGCAGAATTTAAAAGAACAATCATAAACATGATCAAAGAATTTAATAATTTTAGAGAATTCACAAACAACTCAAACAACTCTAAAAGACAGGAAAAAATTTCTGAGTTTAGCTCAAGAAAATACAAGTATATGGCCAAAAGAAATAACAAAAACAATCCAGGACTTGAGAAGTGAATTCACAGACATAGAAATACTGAAGAAAACACAAGCTAAATTGAAGATGGAATTGAAAAGCTCAATGAACCAGTTTGAAATGACCAATGAAAACCTCACAAACAGAATGAGTCAAATGGAGAACACGATATCAAGACTGTACAGCAAAGAGGAAGAATTGGAGCTCTCAAGAAAAGATTACGAAAAAATTAAAAACAGAGGAATAGATATGCAAGAAGTGTTAGGCACCAAGAGAAGACCAAATCTGTGCATCACAGAATAGAGAAAGAAAAAGAAGTTCAAACCAGCAGCATTGGCCAGGTCTTCACAGGATTATAGAATAAAACGTCCTAAATCAAGGAAAGACCTACCTATAGAGGTATTAGAAGCACACAGAACACCAATTAAACAGAACCGGAACAGAAACTCCCCATGGCATATCGTAGAAAAAGCACTAAATGTAAAAACACAAAGAGAGAGCATTCCAAGGCACAAGAGAGAAACACCAAGTTTTATATCAAGGAAAACGCATCAGAATTACAGCTGAGGTCAACATACACTATGAAAGCTAGAAAAGTCTGGAGCAAAGAATTCCAAGTTCTAAATGATCATACATGCCAACCTAGACTTCTTTACCCAGAAAAACTGTCTATTATAATCAAAGGGGAAAGAAAAATCTTCCATGATACAAAGAACCTGAAGGAATTCACGTCCACCCAACCAGCCCTAAAGAGAAGAGTCAAAGCAATACAAAGGGCTGAAGAAATGACCATACACAGAGGTTACAGAAAGAGAACAAACGAAAGCCTAATGTGTGAAAACACAAAATAACACTGAGAACACAAACAGAAAATAAAACGACAGAAAACAACCAAATCTTCCAATAATAACTCTATATATCAATGGCCTCAACACCCCCATCACGAAATGG